CTGAAATTGAAGCGAGTGGTCATAAAGTCGTTAGCATCACCAATATACGCAACAACAGGACGAGGAGTCCAACACCACTATTTTTTGTAGAGCTTCAACCACAAAATAATAACAAACTAATATATGATTTGAAACATTTACTACAAACCATTATCTCTGTAGAACAACCCTACAAAAAAAAAGGATATACCACAATGTACAAGATGCCAAGCGCATGGACACACCAAAAATTATTGCACGCGTATTCCCCATTGTGTTAAGTGTGAAGGAAAGCATCTGACAGAGCAATGTAATTGGGAAGATAGAAGCAACCAAGTGAAGTGCTGCAATTGTGGTGGAAATCATCCAGCCAGCTATAAAGGATGTGTAATCAGAAAACAACTAATTAACAAAATGTTCCCTAAATTAAGAGAACGTATAACTCACTCCACATATACCAGATCCAGCGAGGTACAACCAGGCAAAACCTATGCACAAGCATCAAGCAGCAACCACCATGTAACATATCACTCTCAACAAGATAYACCAACTACCTCAAATGAATCTTCATCAACCTCACATAAGATGGAAAACATGACGATGTAGTTAATGACAAGCATGAACACAATGATAAACCTTCTAAATACAGTCATATCGAAATTAAGTTAATAACTAACATATCCTATAAAAATGGAATCTGGAATGCTAATGGACTGGTAAGCAAAAGCCAGGAATTACACACTTTCCTAATAGACAATGACATTGATATAATGCTAATATCAGAGACCCACTTCACAGATAAATCTTATCCTTAACTCTATAAATACACGCTATACAGTACTCAACACCCTAGTGGTGGTGCACATGGAGGAACAGCCATAGCTATCAAATCTAAAATAAAGCACCATGAAATTAAAAAATCCAATCTCGAGTACATTCAGGCAACCAGCGTTGTTGTAGAAGATTGGTAGGGTATCCTAACAATATCTGCAATTTATTGTCCCCTTAAACATGCATTTAAGGAAGATGATTTTACAAAATTCTTTAACACTCTGGGCTCAAGATTCATAGCTGCGGGTGACTACAATGCTAAACCTCCATGGTGGGGTTCTTGACTTTCAACTCCCACCCCAAGAGGAAAATAATTATATCAAGCCATCCAGAAAAACAAACTATATGTACTATCAACAGGAGAACCAACCTATTGGCCCACAGATCCACATAAAATACCAGACTTGTTAGATTTCTGTGTTATTAAAGGAATAAGCCAACATTATCTAGATATTAAATCGAGTCTAGATTTGTTCTCTGACCATACCCCCCTTATAGTAAATGTTTTTTTTCCAGCTTTATTGTAAAAAATGCACCTCCTACATTACACACCAGGAAAACAAATTGGGACACATATAGATGCCTACTAAATGAAAAAGTTAGCTGCAACATACTTCTAAAAACAGAAGAACAACTGGAGGCCGCCATTAAACACTTTACAGTCAGTATACAGGAGGCGGCATAGGAAGCAACACCTACAATTTCCAACAAAGAGACACCACTAGAAACCTCTGATTCTATTAAAAAGCTCATTGCTGAGAAAAGAAAACTGAGAAAACAGTGGCAACAGTCCAGAAATCCCGTTAATAAAACCAGACTTAACAGAGCTACAAGAAGACTGAAGAAATTGCTCCTGGAAGAAAGAGAATTAACTATCCAAAACTATGTTTAAAAATTAGCTCCAACTAAAGAAACAGATTATTCTCTCTGGAAAGCCACGAAGAAAATAAAAAATCCTCAAGTCAGTGTACCACCCATCAAAATCGATAACAACAAATGGGCAAGGAGTGATGCGGAAAAGGCAGCGGCTTTTGCAAACCATCTCAAAGAAGTTTTTCAACCCTTTCCACAAGAGCTATCGGCCGAAGAAGAAGAGGAAGTACATACGTATCTGTATGCAACAGAAGATTTACCTAGCCCCCATAAACCGTTTAGAGCAAGCGAAATCAGTCTGGTAATACACCAAGAAATCAGTATTAAAAAGGCTCCGGGAATTGATCTGATTACTGGTAAACTACTGCGTGAACTACCTGATAGATGCATAAGATTTCTTACAATAATATTTAATACTATTCTTCGTCTTAATTACTTTCCTATAGAATGGAAAATAGCCCAAATTATCCTAATACGAAAACCAGGTAAAGACCCTCAACATGTTACCTCATATAGGCCTATTAGTTTGCTCTCACATTTATTGAAAGTACTAGAAAAGCTACTTGTCAAAAGAATTAATGCACATTTAACTGTGAATTAGCTCATACCTGCACACGAATTTGGGTTCAGGAATAAGCACGCTACGATAGAGCAGGTACACAGATTAGTCCGTCAAATAAGCTTAAGTCTTGAGGAAAAAAAGTATTGCTCGGCTGTCTTTCTGGACGTCACTCAAGCCTTTGATAAAGTATGGCACCCAGGCTTATTATACAAACTTAAAAACCTTCTGTATGTGAAAGCTAGTTTATTAAATAATGATTTTTTCACAATTCCAAAAGATTTTATTAAAAAATATAATCTACCTTCAGATAAAGTTTCGTGTAAATATTTTAAAGATTTATTAGCGTTTCAAACAGAATCTGACTTTACCTTAACTCCAAAATTGCACGAAGAATATTTAGACAACTCCAAGCATTTCTTAAAAATGCGAGTAAGCGCCACAAAAAATGTTTTAAGTGAGGATGTCAGTTCAGCGTTTGAATTTTTATCTGGCGAGCTCAATTTACCTCACTTTAAAACATGTGCTTGGTTAACAAAATTTTTGGCAACTTGGTTTAAAATCATGACTTCTCGTAACAAGGGAATTGCTTTAGGTATAAAAGAGATAAAAAAGTACAATGAAACTGTTTCTTTTTTGAGAGAGAGCATTAAATTGTTTACAAACATTACTGTTGGTTTTGTACAGTATTGGAAACCTTTTCAAAAATCCGCGATTTTAGCAACGACATCTTTTTTGGAAATTTCAGAGTATTTAATAAAAAAGAGAGACTACTAGTATATATTAGGATCTAGATTCACTCAAGATTGTATTGAAAATACATTTTGTCTAATGAGAATGAAGCATCAAATCCCAACTTGCTGCAATTTAAAAATAACATAAAGCTAATCACTATAGGCCAATGTCAGCGAGACGTTAGAAGTGGAAATTACGAGGAAGATGATAGAAAGTTTTTCTCAGAATTTTTAGACAGCTTCAAAAATGCAAAAAAAAGTATTAGAGAAAGTGATAGTTCTAATGAAAATAGCGATTTGAAACGTGTATCATTATCTTTACCTTCATCTTCAGTAGTTTTTTTCTCAGCTATTGATTTGAATGCTATATATTATATTGCGGGATATATAGTTAACAGCATTCTAACGAAAACCAAAACATATTGTGATAAATGTTCGGATAGTATAGGCTCGCGTAAGCCAATTACGTATTACTATACTACACTTACTAGAATGAGACACGTAACTGATAAAGATAGAATATTTTTTGTTCACATTAAAAGTTTTAACTTTTTTTCAAGTATGAAAAGAATTTTTCGAATGCAATACAAATATGTCTGTAATGATGTAAAAGAAGGCGTGCAAAAATACTTTATAAATAAATTCGAGGAACTTGATTTTACGACTACAAAATGTCACAATCTGAAAAAGAGGATCAATAATAGGTACTCTCTGTTTAGATTGCGAAGTGCATCGCGTAGGTATAATCGCAAAAATTTACAAAATTTTAAGCAAACAAATCTCAGTTCGAGTAAAACTATGACCATGTACCACATTAAAAAATAAAAATATGTTAAAATAAATCTATTTTTTAATTGTTTTATATATTTGTCTTATTATTATTATTGTTATTTAATTATTTCTCTCCGATTTCTCGGGCATATTAGCGTGTCGGACAGGCCTTTTGCCAGGTCTGACAGCTTTAATCTTCAGAGTTTAGGAAGGCTCTGGTTATGTTGCATGTTTTTAATATAACCGCCTTTTGTATTTCTTGGTGTATGTTTGGGTCTAGTTGTAGTTGTGTGAGATGTGATTTAAAATTWTTYGGTGTAATTYCTGYTGCTGATWTGATGAAAGGGATGATGTGTACCTTTTTTTGTTTCCATATTCTGTGTATTTCTTGTGCAAGTGGTGTGTATTTTTCTATTTTTTCTCTGTATTTCTGTGCAATGTTGATGTCGTTTGGTACTGAGATGTCTATTAGGTATGTTGTTTTGTCTTCTTTGTTTGTAAATGTGATGTCCGGTCTGTTGTGTTTTACTGTTTTGTTGGTGTGTATTTGTAGTATGGTGTTGTAGTGTTCTCCAGTTTGTATTTGTTCACAATTGCTTTATGTATGATTTTTGCTGCGGAGTTGTGTCTTTCCGTATATTCGGTGTTTGCTAGTATTTTACAACCCCCTGTTATGTGTTCTATTGTTTCGGGTACTAATTTGCATTTCCGGCATTTGTCATCTTGTATGTTTATGTCTTTTATTATGTACTTGAGGTAGTTTTTTGTTGAGATTACCTGATCTTGTATTGCAATTAGGAATCCTTCGGTTTCTGGGAAGAGGTTTCCTTTTTTTAGCAATTCGTATGTGTCGTTTTTTTTTTATGTTTTCGTCTGTAGTGATGTAGTAGTGTTTTCCGTGTAATTGTTTTGTGGCCCATGCGTTTATTTTGCTTTTTGTGTGGTCTATGTCGTTATAGTTATCTATGTCTGTATTGTTTGTCGATAGATTTAGTGGTGTGTGGTTTTTGTCGGCTTTCGTTATTGCTTTATGTAGTTGTGTTTCTTTTGTGTGGAAGTATTTACGTAAGTTTTTTATTTGTCTATTGTGTAACGCTTTTATGTCCCTTATTCCCCTACCACCTTCTTCTCTGCTTATTGTTAATCTTTCTACACATGATTTTGGGTGTAGTTTAGTGACTTTGTTATTCTATTGGTGTCATCTAAGTCTGTGTTTGACCAATTGATGATTCCGAAGGAATATGTAAGGACTGTTATTGCGTATGGTTTATTGCTTTGACGAGGTTTTTTGAGTTTAGTTTAGTTTTAAGTATTTTTGTGAGTCTTTGATTGTATTGTTTTTGTAAGTATTTTTTAATTTCTGTGTGATTTATCTTGGTATTTTGTTCGAAGCCGAGGTATTTGTATGTTTCGTGTTTTTCTAAGTTTTGTAGTGTTTCGTTCTGTAATGTTCTTTGTGTATCGTCTGTGATCCATTGTCCTCTTTCGATATGTGTTGTTTTGCATTTGTCTATTCCGAATTGCATTTTTATGTCGGATGTGAAGTTTTCTGTGATTTTTAAAAGTGTATTTAACTGTGTTTCTGTTGCTGCGTATAGTTTTCTGTCGTCTACATACATTAAGTGGTTTATTGTGTACTGCGTTTGTCTGATATTTCTGATTTGGAATCCATATTTACTATTGTTTAATATTGTGGATAATGGGTTTAGGCACATGTTGAACCATAAGGCACTTAGTGTATCTCCTTGGAAGATGCCCTTTTTAATTTTTATTTCTTCCGTTCTTATTGTATCCGTTGGTGTTTTTAGTATGATTCTGGTTCTCCATGTTGACATGGTGTGTTTTAGGAATTGTTGTGTATGTTTGTTTATTTTGTATATTTTTAGAATTTCTATAAGCCATGTATGTGGTGGTACTGAGTCAAAGGCTTTTTTGTAGTCTATATAGCATGTGTGTAGGTTTCGTTGCTGCTTTTTTGCTTGGTTCATTATTATACTGTCTATGATAAGTTGTTCTTTACATCCTTGGCTATTTCTTCTGCATCCTTTTTGTTCTTCTGAGATTATATTGTTTTTTGTGAGGTGTGTATCAATTTGTCGGCATATTGTACTTGTTATTATTTTATATAGTGTTGGTAGGCACGTAATGGGTCTATAGTTTGCTGAGTTTTCAGTGTTTTGATTTTTGGGTTTAGTGAAAGTGATCCCTTCGGTTAGGAACCTCGGGAGTTCTTGGGGGTCCTCTATTATCTTATTTATCTGCTGTGTTAGGTATGGATGTGTAGTTGTAAATTTCTTGTACCAGAAGTTTTGTATGTGATCTGGTTCTGGGTGTTTCCAATTATGTGTGCTGCGTATTGTTTTTTTTAGCTCGTCTTCCGTTATTCTGTATTCGGCTTGTTCTGGCATGTCTTCATATTTCTGTTTCTCGTCTGTTATCCATGTTGCGTGTGTGTTGTGTTCAGTTGTGTTTGACCATATCTGTGTCCAGAAAGTGGTTATTTCTTTTTTAGTTGGTTGTATGGATCCTATTTCTTGTTCTGTGTTTAGTTTTCTGTAGAATGTTCTTTCACTGTTTAAGAATGTTGTGTTTTCGATTTTCCTCTTATATGATTCGTTATATCTTTTGAGTCTTGCTGCATATACGGCAAGTTTTTGTTTGTGCGTGTCCAGCAGCTGGTTGACTGTGTAATTGTTATTATTTATGTCCAAGAGTGTGTTGATGTATTTTGTTATGTTTTTTGACATATTACCTTTTATTGCTTGTTTTAGTCTACCTATGTCTTTCCTTATGGTGTGTATTTTTTGTTCAACTCGGATTTGCCATTTTGGTTTTTTATGATAATTTATGGTTTTTTGTTGGTTGTTTGGTGTCTCTTCTGGTATTTGTTGTTTATTCTGTTGTGTTGTTGTGATAGCTGCTGCATATATCATCATGTGTATGGTTGTATTGTCGTATTTTCGTTTATGTGTTGTGCTAATGCGTTGTTTATGATGTTTATTAGATGTGTTGTGTCTTTTTTGTATATTAGTTTTGGTATTCTATTCTTTTAGTGGGGTCGCTGTTTTTCCAGATTATTAGGTTGGTTTCTAGTGCTCTTTGGATCTCTATTGTATCGTTTTGATTCGTGTTTTCGTGTATCTGTCTTTCTCGTGTCTCTTGTGTGGTGTTGTGTTGTTGGGTGTTCCTGTTTGTTGTTGGTTGTGTTTCGTCGCTTATTTCGCGTTCTGGGTTTTGGTGTTGCTGGTCTTGTTTTGTGGGGTGTATGTTCGTTGTGTCTTGGGTTGTTGGTTTGCTTAGTTCGTGTGCTACTGCTTCTTTGATTATTTGTAATTCATTGGCGGGTATTCTGTTGTTTATAAGAATTGTTCGTTTTTGATCTATTATTCTTTGTTCTGTTATGTGTGGTTCTAGTTCTGGGTATCGTGTTGTGAAAAGACTGCGCATTTCTGTTCTATATCCTGAATCTATCGTTTCTATTTTTGTGGCGATGTAATAGCAACGCATGACGGTTCTGTTCATTTCATCTGACTATTTTATGCGTTGTCTCTGTTTGCCAGCTTTGGTGGTTGCAGAATGTGTCTGCAAAGCATCCATTGCTGGGTTTGTGGTGTTTTGTGTTGAGTGGTGTTGTTCTTGTGTTCTGTTTGTATTTCTGCTTTCATTATCGGTTTCGGCTGTCTCATTTTCGGTTTTCCCGACAATGTCCCGCCTGTTCGGACTATTGTCACCGATGGTCTGTATGCTGCT